AGCCAACTCTTTCCTGGGGGCCTGACCTACTGGGCGCCCAGCGGCTTGAGGCTCCGGCTCCTGCCCCTCAGCCACGATCCTCCTCATTACCCTGCCATCTGGGTGGGGGGCCAGACGAGGGGCCCGGACCACAGGGCAGGTGCTGAGTGTCTGGAACCCCCAGGTTGTGGGTGAGGGCAGCCCTGGGTCCAGGGGGCACCCTCCAGCCTGGCTCCTCAGGGTGCCCAGGAGCGGGGTGAGTTGTGGCCAGACAGGACAGTGGGGATATTGTTCAAACTGGGGGCTGTGGGGGGGAGCTGGGGCCTGAGGTCCGGGGCCACCAGAGCAGGGGCTGAAGCCAGACAGGAGAGCTGCGTCCTTGTCATCACGGTGGCTCCTTGTGTATCCAAAATGGCCTGCACGGCCTGCAGTTTACTTCCTGAGCCTGGCAGCTGAGCTGGGAGCCCGGGCCCTGCGCACAGGGAGCCCTCCTGGAGGGCTCTCCCCCACTACATAAATGATTGTCACCTTTGTCCCAGCCCCAGTGGGAGCGGGGTTCAAGCCAGGGCCTCCTCACAGCTTCCTGGGGCCTAGAGCCAGCCAGAGCCCTGCCCCTCCTGACCTTGGGGATGACCCCTGACTGCCCAGAATCTGAACAATCTCATCGGAAAGGGTCTCTCCTCTCAAGGCTGGCAATGCCAAGACCCCAGGGTGCTCCTGGAGAGCCCTGATGTCTCCTGACACCCCATCGCAGCGCCTCATGCCACCCATGTCACTGGCTGTGCGCCTGATGCCCCCATCCTTGGTGCAAGGTCTTGGCCAGCACATTGGGGGGAAGCAGGAGGCCACCTGGGGAGGCACGAGTCCCTGTCTGCGGGGCCCACTCCCCACTCTCCCTGGCCCCCCCTACCACCCCTGGCCCAGCCCCTGAGGAGGGAGGGCCTCTGGCTGGCCATGGCTCCGTGCAGACAGCCCCAGCCAGGCTGGAGTGATACCTTGAGTGACACTGGGGGTCCTGGTGGAGGCCACGGGCAAGAGAAGGTGGGGACAGGCTTTGGCACCCCAGAGCTGGCTCAGGTGGGAAGGGGCAAGGAGGCCTGTCCTGCGGGAGCGGGCAGTGGGGAGGCCCCAGGGCAGAAGGTCTGGGTTAGGTCCTTGGCCGGGGCGGGGACTGTCCCCCACAGCCTCAGGTGCCCCTCTGTCCCGGGAGGTCTTAGGCGCAGGGTCCGGGAAGGCCGGTGGTAGCGTGGTGGATACCGCCGGCCAGGTGACCATCTGGCCTGAGCGCAGCCTTGCAGCTGCTATGGAGTGAGGCGCTGGACGAGCCCTACTGGCCCTGCTGGCCCTGGCTGGCAGCTGAGAAAGGGCCAGAGCCGGCCGCCCACAAAGCAGCTCTTTTGGAGATATCTGGCCCAAGGGCTTCCCAGCGGGCCAGTCACCTCTGGCCTGTCAGGAGGAGGGCGGGAGGGCGGAGAGGAGGGCACAGGAGGGGAGCAGGCACTGCCCACAGGGGCGTTCCAGCCCCCCAGGGTGGGCCCACACACAGGACTGGCGGGCGGGGTGGGGGCTCAGGTGCAGCGGCCAGGGTGCTTGTGCAGCAGGGGCCACGCTGGAGGGCAGGAGGGGAGACCTGGACCCTGGCGGGGCCTGAGGGTGGCCACTGACCCCACAAGAGGGCGCCCTCCCAGTCCCTGGTGGCCACTGCTGCCACCAGCCCCTTCTGTTGTGCCATCCTCTGCAGCATGGGGCTGGTGGGTGAGACAGTACTGGGGGGGGCCACAGGGAAGGTTTCGGGGTGAGCAGTGGGCAGACTTTGGGAGTCTGCGGAGGCTGCTCAGGCCGGGCGTCTGGTGAGGCAGCACAGCCCCTCCCCGTCTTTCGGGTTTTGTGCGGTCAGGGTGAGGGACAGAGGTGTCCGGGAGAGGCCGGCCCCAGGGACTTGCTTGCCCTGAGCAGGACGTCCTTCCCTTGGGCGTTTCCTCTGGTCAGTCCCACGTGCCAGGGCCAGAGCCCTGAGGGCACAGATGTGGCCCTCAGGCTGGACTCTGGCCCCCTCCCCCCGAAACATACCACCCCCTAGCAGGCGAGTCACAGTCTTATGGTTTTAAAAATGTATTTGATTTATGCACACAAGAGCTGGGGTGCAGGCCAGAGCTGTGGGGGCGAGGACTCCCCAGACACACTGGGGAGCAGAGCAGGGGAATCCACTGAAACCCGCTGCTGAGGGGAGTAGGGGACAGGAGAGGTCTGCTGCGCCCTGTGGCCACTCCCTGGCCCGGCCACACTCAGGCCGCAGACTCACCCCAGCGCCCCAGGGAGGCCCCACTGTCTTCAGTCTTCCTTTTACAAAAGTCTTAGCAGCTCTCAGGCCTGGCAGGGGTTGGGGGGGGGGCGGGTGGCTGCTGGAGAGACTCTGGCTCAGCCTGGGCCAGGTAGGGGAGTCCAGCAGGGTCCTGGGGCCAGCAGGTGGAGGGGACTGTGGGGGCCCAGGGTCCGTCCAACCCCCTCTGCAGTCTGCACCCCCTCAGCTCCAGGGTGCCTGCTCCCAGCTGTGGGCAGTGCCCGGCCTGGGCTGCTGGTTCATGTGGCAGCCTCTCCCAGCACGGTGCCAAGCTGCAGTCTGCCTCCAGGGTCTCCTCCGGGCCAGGGGGCTGCTGGAAGCCCCTCCGGGGTCACCCAGAGCCCAGGCCCCCAGCGCTGAGCACAGAGACCAGGGTCTCACGGCCTTCTCTCTCTGGTCCCCACTCAGGCCAGTCTTCCAAGCCCCAGGGGGGCCTCGCACTGCCTGGCCACTCTCGCCGGTCCAGCGGGCCTCGCAGGGCGGCGGGCGGGGGCTTCCCCTCGGGCACATGCTGAGGGTCAGAGCTCCCAGCCCCCAGGCGGAAGGGCGGCCGCGGGGCGGTGG